CGAGGTAACTCCGAAGTGAAAGTGTTTACCTTTCAAGCCGGAAGCTCCCCACGCGACATTTATTCAAAAAAAAGTAGCTTAGGGTGTAAAGGTGAAAGGATTTTACGAAACTTTATCTGAAGAATAGGCGCCTCTTGCGACAGCTCACGCTCACAAAGAAGAGGGTCGACATGCAATACAAAAGATGTAGGAAAATTCTTCTGTGCCGATTCGATTTCGATTTCTATGTCAATAAAAAAACACGAATCACGCATATATAGAATCATCATCATGGTATCTTATCGCTGTTTGCGTTTATCTTGTGTCTTTATTTGCTTGATTACTTAAAAACAAAGGCAGAGATTGAGGTATACTGAAACCTTAGTGAGCCTTAGAAAACCTCTGCTCAACTAAAGCCTATTCAGGAATCTGAGATCTACAATCTGAGATCGGAGCCGGAGCAGAGTGCTGGCCTGTGACTAAAAAGGATGAGGCTCGTCTCAGTGTAATGGAGACAAAAATGCTGCGCTGGACTGCCGGGGTCACCGTTTAGACCACATTCGCAACGATACCATCAGAAAGCGGTTCGGTGTGGCTCCCATCGCTGATAAGATGCGCGAAGCTCGCCTGAGGTGGTACGGTCACGTCCTTCGCGCTAATGATGACAGTGTCCGTAAGATCGGTCTAGACTTAAGCCGCCAAGAAGAGCCCGAAGCAACGATGGCTTGATACGTTGCATGAGGCTCTTGAGATTCAATCCCGATCTTCATCCCGATCAGCACACAATCGGTAAAGTGGCGTCATAATACCAGGGAAGCGGACTCCGCCACTGGGTGAGACAAACGCTGAAGAATATTAATAAGAAGAGAGAACAAGAAGAAAATGTGTAAACTTGGCGTCACTCAAAACCACAAGCGCCAGTAAGGGGCGAAGTCGGAGAAGTCAATTTGGTGTTTGACTGATTGGCACAGGTTTAATATCATAGATGCCCTTCAATACTTCCAAATTTAACACAACTAGTCTGAGGGAATTTTTATTCGTGACGAAGGTATTTTGATCGCGATCAATATTAGTTTTAGCATGTTGACTTAGTTGATATTTTTGATATTCATCTAATAGTTAAAGTTGCTCGCCTAGTAGTGTCTACATCTTATCTCTTGTCAACTGATTCCTGTGCAAATGGAGTAACGAGACCCTTTCAATCGTCTATTTTGTTCTCCTCCGTGCTGCTTCCTTTAAGAGTTTCCCTCGAACCTCCGGAACTCTCTTTTCCTGTAGAACCTTCGAGATTCTGTCGATCCTCTTGATTCACTGACTCTTATTGCACAAAGATGGATCGGTCACTCAGAGCTGTCTTTCGATTTTTTGCTGCGCTTCGCCCTGCAGTCTTCTCAGGTCACGTTCTGAAATTTTCATTCTGTTATAATTTGAGCTCATCAGGTGATTCTTACCTTCTTTCTTTTGTTTTTCTTTTTTATAATCATCCAATAGCACGACAATGATGGTAATAATTAGCAGGACACAAATGGGTCCGAGAGCTATGTAGAGTCTGAAACGAAGCATCAGGTCCTTTTTGTTATTATTGCCTTAAGAGCAGCGTTTTCACTAAGTCGCCTCTTTGTCATTGTTATCCTGCGCTCCTGGCAAGTAGCCGGACGCAGCATCGATTTGGATCCTTGAGCGACCGGACTTACGATGAGCCATTGGGTCAGATGGACCTCAGCACGTATTGACCTATGATAATTGATTTATTCGCTATGCTTCCGGATTTTCGTTTGTGCATAGCCTCATAGAGTCAACATACTCAGCAGCAGAATTTGTATGCCACAAAAAATGGACTGTTAATATGGAAATTTAATTAGTGAAACATCCCCACACCCCTCAAGAATGGACCCTCAGCATCGATTGGACCTTGAAGCGAGAACTACGCCTGTATTGGTGGTTTATAATGAAAGTGGGATGCGGATAATGCCGTCGTGTCGAAAAAAGAGAAATCCGTCAAGAAAGCGCAAAAAGGAGTTCTTCTTTGCCTTTGACTCCTGATAATGGAGGAGCTGCAATAAACTATAATCGTAAGAGATCCTTTGCCCATGTTAAACCGATAGCCGCTATATTCAGCAAAGATCCATGGCTGGGAGATTTCGCTCAGTCCATCGATTAAAGGACGAATTTACGATGGAAAAGCAACCCATTCCAAATTGAGGTAGAGATGGTGAGTAGTACCAGAAAGAAAGCGAAACCACGAAAAACGGCCCAGAACCGGAGAAATGGGACCCCTTCCTTGTCCGTTGATTTGAGCATTGATGGGACTCTCATCGCTTTGCCCTCTTCAACCCTACGCTCTCTCAGCTATCTAATCACTCGCCACCTATTGTACTACGGCGAGTGATCAGACGATCGGTGGGCGGAGATCGCCGAACTCGCCAACTTTGAGCCATGCTAGATCTCAGAGGTCAAATCTTTCGATGCCGATTGCGTGTCTGTCCGCACCCTCAAGAGATTCACCGCTCTCCCCACTAGGCGATTTCTCCCTTCTTCGACCTTCGTTCTTTCCGTGCAATCCTCCTTTAAGCTACTCAAAGTGGAATCCCATTCCCATCGCAAATGATAAGAGCAATGATGCTACTAGCAACGCACTAATGGGTGCAGTGGCAGCTCTAGAGCGCTGAACTAGAGCTCTTGACCGCAAAATGGCCACATCTCGCTTCCTTAGACCCCTGACTACTGCCTCCACTTCATGCTTGCACACAACCTTCTATCTAGTCCTCTAAACCTCGAGTACGTTAGATCGCGTTATCCGGCACTCTTCGTATTCTGAAACTTCAGTTCAGCATAGTTCAGCGTGCTGTAGCCATGACGCTTCTGCCGAAGGCAGAGAGAGGGCTTGGTCAAGATGGCAATAAGAATACTTCGTTCACCTTGAGCCGCTTTTTCTTAGGTGCTATCAAGTTGAACTTTGATAGATCAGATGACGCTGCTTGCTAGCGAAGGAATCTAGGTAAGAATTCGACGATGGATATTCATTCGTGTGGTCAGGTGTTGCGTGCCCATGGAGGAGCGAAGAGTTTTCCTAGCAGAGATGTGGGGATGACTAACCTTATCCTGATTTCCTGACCTAACTTTCTCTCCCACTAAAGGGAGTTTGGCAGAGCTCAGGAGATTTGCAGACACATGTTCTCTTAGTCAGCAAGGAGTGTCGCCAGTGTATGAAGCTGTTCGACATCGCCTACGAATTTTTCTGGAAGAACGGCAACCGCTTTTTCCACAAGAATCAAACCAAAACAAACGGCCAATCTTAGTGATGTATTAAATTGATATGAAGCATTGCGGCAGCTCTTCGATGCTAAAATAATCAGATTCGGGCACAGATCTATTTTTCAGGTAGGGCTGTTCTATATTATTGCAGTGGCCTTAGAATCAAAAATCGTGTAATGTAATGGAGATCTACCCGGATTAGCTGAAATTTTTGCATGTAGCTCTTTTTTTTGTTGACGAGGCCCTTAAGGCACAACTCCGCAGTCAGTCCATGTAAGCAGATTCGCCTTCAGTCCTGTATAGTGGTGAGCGCGCCACGTGTGAACGCTTCCCTTCGGTCTTAGTATGGACCCCTAGAGGACAATCACAAATGTGGCGTTCCCGTGCACGGAAACCAACCGACAAGAGCGCTTGGGCCTTGCAAAGTAAGCTGCAGATTTTTTTCTCTTATCAGGCTGTTGTCTGGCGCTCTCTCATCTGTAGCGCTCTCTCGCCTCATACTCTCCTCTCCGCGCTTAGTCTCTCATTCCCTTAGCACAGCCGATTGGAAGGTGAGTAAGCCCACAACCAATGTGGTCATGGGACATGTCTTTTATGTGTAAGTCGCAATAAAAGATATCTTGTGGGTAAATAATCACAATATAGGGGTGTTCTATGATTTTGCAATGATCACTGTATGTCCACAGTTAATGGAAGTGGATGCTTATCGCACTAGACATCCATCAGTTGGCTGAATGTTGTTTGCCTACCATTCGAGCAGTCTAGATTCGATCCCTTGGTGATACTCAAAGCTCTCTACTTGCCATCTTTGAGGAAAAATTAGCCCGCAATATCCTTTCAAAAACCGCAAATTCGCTCGTAATTGTGACACCTTGTAATGAGGAGTCGTTTCACTGAATGGAATGGATAGAACTCGATCGCATACAGCTGTCGTCACTGTTAGAATACTCCTTCGTTAATGGTTTCATTGTTACTCACACGCTATGGTATCTAGCCTTTGTGTGTTCTCCTGCTCCATCCTCGGCGGCTTCATCTCTCTGCTCATCAAGCAAGCCAAGATCTCGTTTCATGCAAAGAAATAATTCAACGGCAGTATCATTGTGAGGATCAGATATAAATGTCGTTTCTGTTTTAACCGTTTGCAATTCTGTTGTATTTTTCACGATTTCCTGCAAAGTACAAATACCATCTGTAACGAAGTATCCCTCCTGTTAGACTATTAGATCGTTCAGGAAGCTCTCATTTTTGGTATTTAGTTCAGATGGCTTACTATATTTTCTACTCACACTTTAGGGAATCACTGGAACTTCTCATATAACTTGGAAGCGCTGCGCGCTTTATCTGGTGGCGTTATCTATTTGTATCCTGACAATTGTTCGAACTCAACTTTGAATACAAAATGCTCAGGAAGCTATATCGCACAATATTCATACTTCACCCCGAATATCGGCGAGAAACAGCGAAGGTAAGTTACGGTATCACATGTGAATGTGGTCCAAATTCATGGTATACTCGCTGTGTCATGACTCGAAATTTCATAGTAGCGATGGTCAGAGCCTCGGAGAATGTGAGGTTGGTGGTCCAATGTTGGATACTGACAAAAATTAACCAAAGGTTAAGATCGAACAAGTTCATTCATTTCAAATCTCAACCGCTATGATATTTCTTAGTAGAACTGAAAACGTGAGGGAACATTCCTGCGATGAAAGTCGCCGACCCTTCTCTTCACGGTTGCGCAGCCTCAGATTGCACATCCAACCCTGTATACGGCGAAGTAGCTGAGCTACAAAACTTTGTTGCAGACTGCATCCTACTACTATT